CGCCGAATTTGTTGGTAGAATTTATGTATGATACCTAAGAAAAGTCATACTTAAAAGCATTTGAAGTGCTTCCGTTTGTGAGAAAAAGCTTTCGCTCAGCTTCATCGAGTTTTAAAACTGAGCAAGAGACGTTGTCCAACCTAGTTTAGCTCTTTTTACAAATGTTACGGTGGAAGACCTGCTGGAGGAAACAGCAAGTTTTCTCAGCATAGACATATTTGTATTAAAACTCCAACCTGTTATTCGTGGCCGGCTGAGAATTCTAAGGAAATTTGTACATATATCAATTCTTACATTTTCTCGTAAGAAACAAGGTTCACTACCTTTAATTTGTTTATTACATCTTGTCCTATTCCCAAACCCTTAGACAAGTAGTTGGTAGACATAACTACTTATGGAGCAGAAATAGGATACCATGTACTTGGTTGGTGTGATTTTAATCCACAAAACCAAATAATTGCATGAACAAATAACAAAAACAAGCTCATTAAATTCAGATGTTTTAACCATCTGACTTCTTTAATTATTTGTCGTGCTTGGTCAGATTTACTATGAGGACCAACTAAACGGTATTGTGCATTCATAATTGGACCACACATACATTTTAGCCACAGTGATGGATCACTAAAAAACATTTTCACTAGATGTGGTCTGCATCCAATTGTACGAGCCAAATCATCTGAATAGATGACAAAATCTGTTAAATTAACAATTCGATTTGTTCTGTAAGGTGTTAGTTGCCATTCAATATATTTAACATAAGTTTTGCTTTGTTCAATCATTGTTTCCTTATCTGGTAATGTTAATTTATTTGAACATAATAATGCATACCATCTAGCTTGCATTTCAGCTAGTGGTGGTATAGCACCAAAACAAGGACGAACAAAACCAATGAAAAATAATTTATCGCCTAAATGAGGATATACACAATGTTTGTATAGATCATGTGATATACGTGCGTCATATGCCACTTTACGTACTAACTCAGCATGCATTGGATCTGCTTGTTTATCATCTATTTCCAGAAATGGAAATTCACTTATAAAACCAGTACAACACACAATTTCATCGATTTCTTAATAAGTGTGTTTAATCAGCATCCATCCTGTAATTTTCAATACTTTGTGTCTTATACTGAATTGCATGACACCACTAATGCTGCCGCATACTGCAGGTTACAGCTGGATTTGAGATAGGATGGTACTTTGTCAATATTACAGACTCCAAGATGTTTGTGACTATCGACGAATTGCAAAAGAGATGTACCCAAAAAGAGTTGTGGCATTTTTGCTTCTTTCCCGAATAACATGGCTACACATTTTTTCGGATTAAAAGGTAGCTACCAAAAATCTGACCATTTCTGAACTATTTCCAAGTCAGAGTTCAATATTCTAGTAGCTGAAACAATGTCATTACTGCTATGGTAAAGCGACGTATCATCTGCAAAAGGTCCAATTTTACACTGTGTGCGTAAACAAATATCATCAATGAACAGAAGGAACAGCAGAGGCCCAAGAATGGATCCCTGCGGCACTCCTCTGTTCATAGTTAATGTTGTTGACCCTTGTCCGTTAACAATAGTCACACATTGTCTATGATTTAAATAGCTTGAGAACCATTGTAATAATTCACCAGACACTCCCTTATTTTGTAGTTTATAAAGTAAGGCTGAGTGCCAGACTTTATCAAAAGCCTTTGAAAATTACAGAAAGAGTAAAGTTACTGATGTCTAAATTCTCATTGATCTCATGTATAAGATCCACTAGCTGATTGACTGTTGAATCTCCCTGAATAAAACCAGATTAAAGTGGCACTAATAGTTTATGGTTATTAATATATTTGTATAATTTATTGAAAACTAATCTTTCAAGAACTTTTGACATGACGGATAGCAAGCTGATGGGTCTATAATTGGTCGGAAGAGTGCTGTCACCGTCCTTAAATATAGGATGAATAGTTGCTAACGTCCGTTGATCAGGAAAAACACCATTTAGGAGAGAGAAGGTACAAATATGCGTAAGATCGTGAGCTATAACAGGGCCAGCTTCTAGAAGAATTCTAGATGTTATCTCATGACTAGTAGCTTTATTTGGGTTAACTGTACCCAAGCACTTTTCTACCTCTTGAGCCGATACTGTGAAAACGTCCAGAATATGAGGACTCATGGCATGCATGTTAAGGTATTACCTTATTTCAATCAATGAGATCCATACTGCAGATCTTCGCGAAATGTTTGTTTAAAATATTGGCTTTCATGCTTTCTTCAAAATAGTGATACGTAGTGTAATTACGTAACTTATTTCTTTATGTCAGTGCTAGCAATGAAGTATATTTTCATGTTTTATTATCAAAAGGCTTGTTCAGATATAATACGAACTAATACGAGTGAGTAGCAGTTTATTTACAAAGAAAAGAAACTCTCTTTAACGCAGAAAAACCGAACTATTTATATACGCAACATTGCGCAATCATCGTGAGTATTGAGGTGCAATAGCCATTACCATATCGTGGTGCAATAACTATGACCATATAGTTCTGCAATAACCATGACGATGTTGTGGTGCAATAACCATGACCATATTCTTGCATAATTACCTTGACCATATTCTTGCACAACTACGAATAGGTCTTTTCGGAAGGATGGAACGGAAAATGATGGCAAAAACTACGTAATAAAGTGTCCATGCAATAAGAGGACAGTGATGACGTATATTTACATGACGCATATTTACATGACGCATATTTACATCAGAGAATAATGACATTATATCAACGAATGAGAATTTCTAAAATTCCTGAAGGAGATTTTCTACGCTTCCTAACTATAGTCTGTCTCATTTTCGTCTTTTGTTACAGGAATACTTTCAGATCGTTTAAAAAGTGTCTTTACTAGCTTCCACCATGATTTATTCGATGCATTTGTGGTACGTACACGTTCTAAATATTTGTCTTTTTCTTTTACACATTCCGTTTTGAATGTACTGTACGCTGA